CGTCATCATTTTTTAATCGTTCGTTCAACCATTCTTTCATGTTGTAGGCTTAATTATTTGTAGTCTTAAATATACGAGGACAAAATATATTGGATATTGTTGGTAAGGAAATGACACACTTACACCAAAGAAACCGTCATAGTCAAAAAAACCTAGTTGATGTAAATGTTATTATTAAAACGTCTACGTTAAACCATATGACTGAAAATAGAATTCTGAAACATTACTGTGTTTACATTATATTATGGGAGCTAAGTCTCTAATTCAGTATCATCCAAAGTGGTCGATATTGAAAACAAATTATTTGTCAATTTAAATCAACATTGATTTTGTGATCTTACTGGGAAAAGATGGGCTTCTGATATCTTATATTTAAGACAGAATAAACATTTTATCACTGGTACACGAATCGTGATCTGATCTGAATAAATTTGTGACATCACAGGACAGTAATTAGTAACATGATCTTAAGTGATTTGTGACAGAAATTTGGGACGTGAGCTTAATTAATTTGTGACAACAGGACAGTAATTAGTGACATCATAAATAATTTGTGACTACTGGACAGAAATAGTAAGATGATCTTAAATAATTCGCGACTACAGGAACTACATGACCGGCAATTACAGAGATGATCTTAATAAAATAAATTGTGACCTGACAGTAATTAGTAAAATTATCTTAAATAATTTGTGACTACATGACAGCAATTACGGAGATGATCTTAAAGGAGCTAAGTCTCTAACTCAATATCATCCAAAATCTTCAACATTGAAAACACGATTTATTTGTCAAATTAAATCAACATTCATGTTGTGATCTTACCAGAAAAAGATGGGCTTTTGATATCCAATATATACAGTTTATATACATTCATATTACAGTATTATATGCGTTGCGACCCACTTTTGTCAATTTCTAGGTCCCAAATGTTAGCGATTTAGTTCCTTTAACATGGACCTTATAATACAAATTGTGACTAGATGACAGCAATTAGTTAATTTTAATCATATTAGATAGTGTGCCCACGGGACAGCAGTGAGAACTAATTAAACCTACTCAAAAGCTATTTGCTGAATATCGAAATTACTAAATAATTTGTGCACCATTAGTCCTAAACATGCACCTCTTATAATTGCAATTATGAAAATTATATTTATGTAATAGATCCTTCGATATGGTCAGGACCTCTGTTCAATTTATATGTACTATACAGTCATATGTAAAGTTTCTATTTTTATGATCGTCGGCACCTCTCTTCAATTTATATGTACAACACAGTAACATGTTAAGGTTCTATTTTTATGATGGTTTCTAACAGTAGACCTCCGTGGTTTTGTTTTAATGCATTTATTTTTGGTTTTATTGAATAATTTAGGTAAGCTTTCTGTGTATTTGTTCAAATGTATTTATATCATGCTATAACAATCTGAGGCTTTTTATCCTCTTTGAGAAACCCAGCAAGCGGTGCTATGTGAAAATAATTTGTGTATTAAAATGTTTTCTGTCAAATTCTGTGTTGCATTCTTTATGAGACCGACATAGATATGGGGGGGGGGGGGGGGGATGGCTGAATGGTTAGCGTGTGCGCGCTGTATCATAAAGCATAAAGTCTGTCATTGAGTCGACTGGCATGGTTTTTCGAATCCCTGGTTGTACGTGACAAGGAGTAGGGTCGCCTGTCCAACCTCGTGGGTTTTCTCTGGGTCCTTCGGTTTCCTCCCACTGCTAAAGACCCCTATGCGCAAGCGAATTATTGAAATAAAATTAAACCATATGTTAGTCCCGAAATGACCTAGTTTGTGTCGAGTGGACGTTAAACCCCATTTCTCTCTCTCTCTAAACGCATGCGCTTTTGATCACAAGGTCTGTCATTGCGTCAAGTGTTTTTGTTTTGACCCCCTGCTTGTACGTGGCAAAGAGTAGGGTTTCAAATATCTAATACACGATAAATCTAATAATATTTATACTAGGGTCTTGGTTATTACACGATTCACAACATTTAAATTAGTGTCCCCTGAGTCGGGGATATTAAACACTTCATAATCACCTGTTCCATGTCCAAAACGAATTGGATAAACCAAAACTAGTGTTGGTTGATTTATAAGCTATGCCTTATTTTGGAGACCAAATATGACTTTTCGAACTACTCAATGAGCTGACCGCACATATATAATACTCTATCCTACTCGTGTTTGTGAAATGAAATGAAATGAAATGGGATTTAACGTCCTACTGTTCTGCTTCTAATCTCGGCTAATGAAGACGAGCAGACGCCATACAGTGTGCTATGAGGGAAATTTTGCCTTGGCAGTGGCACTACGGCTTACTCTTATATCGAATTCCAACTGCCAAGGGATCTTTTACATGCACGCCAATGTGTACACGGGACCGCGGTTTTTCGTCCCATCCAAACGACAAGACAGCTGTCCTTGTCAGGTCCTCCGTTCTGCACCACTGACAAGGGGGAACCACGCCGGAAAATCTGGATGAACTTTCTCAGCCAATGCAGGGATTGAACACCCGACCTCCAGGCTAGCGAGCCAGCGTTTTACCCACGTGATCCTCTACTCATGTTTGTATACAAGATCTGTCTCTATATAATGCATGAGTCACACTTGGCTAAATCTATTTGTTAAGGCCAGCTCAATTTTTTTCAAGGTTGCTGTGATGTAAATAAGGTTAGGGCACGTGATTGTTGGCGAGATTGTTGGTTAGGGTAAGCATTAGGGAGCCATGGAGATTCAGTGAGTAAGATGTTATTTTCGATCCCAGTGTTAGCTGAGTAAGTTCATCAGGATTTCTGGTGTGGTCCCCCTTTGTCAGCGGTGCTGGACATAGGGCCTTCCAAATGACGACATATCGTTATTTGGATGGGGCAGTACACCGCAGTCCCGTGTACACATTGGAGTCAACATAAAGGAACCATTGGGTATTGGAATTTGATGCAAGAGTATGTCGTAGCTCCGCTGTCCGCGCAAAATTTTCCCCGTCGCACACTGTATGGCGTATATGCCTGTCGAAAAGAAAAGTAGTACGTTAAAGCCCATTTCATTTCCATTAAAATCATGCCCATGCGGTAAGATGACTCTGCCTTAGAGTTGATCTAATATATAAAATGGGTAGGGGCTCAGGGTTGAACACGAATGTGACAGAAATTAAGGTGAGAAGGTACGAAATGAACAAGGAGAAGCTAACAAGCAGCTTTGCCCTGATTAGTTCTTGCTTTTTTACCTTCGTCCGGTTGTCTCAAGACTGAGCGAAGCCTCGAATGGAGCGAGATTGGGACCATTTGACTTCTTCTACGTACTTGTGAAGGCAAGTCGGAGCAAAGGGGTACTTATTGGCTTCCATTTTAAACAAAGTCAAAACATATTAATATGTAGTTATCTCCCTTAAGCAATTTCGAGAGTTTTCCTTAAATAAATAGTGTTTATCTCGCCATTGTGAGTTTTGCCATATTAAACTAACCAAGTGTCGTCTCGTTGTGGTTGTTTCTTATCGACTGGCGTTATTTTAATGAAATTCAACCCAGACGAATTTTAATGAAATTCAACCCAGACGAATTTCGCCGGCAGATATAACCAGCAGAAATAATCAGTGCAAAGCCAAAAAAAAAAGTTGTGTTATTCAGTTCTTTCCTTCTTATATAGCGAAACCATGGACCTTATAATGTATTATAATAAGGTCCATGGCGAAACGCCGCCGCTTGGGGGCGAGATTTATTGCCTTATTAAAGATGCAGAACTTTCTTTTGGCCCCAAACTTTATATCAATCATTAATTAGACATTTATCCACTTGCCAAGCCCTAGATAACAATCTCAACCCTCTGTGTTTCGAGATAAGAGATGATGCTATTACCTTCAATGTAGTACATGCGGGAGCGATTGGCACCCGGCATTTGTAAACAAAATTGACAATATTTTTAATCAAAACAACGATTGGTTATTGTTATTTATAATATTTCTGCCACACCCAACTACAATTAAAGTATCTAAGTCTCTAACTCAATATCATCCACTGTCTGCGACATTGAAAACATGTTTGTCAGTTTAGATCAAAACTGATGTTTCTATCTTACCGGGGGAAAGATGGGCTTCTGATATCCAATATTTAAGACAAAAAAAACTTATTTTACCATTGGTACACGAATCATGTACCATAATGCGTTTTAGCGCCATTTGTAACAAGGGACTCGAATAACGAGGCTAGATATATTCGACAAGTCCTGTCAAACGGTAACGTCATATTCTTTTCTGGAGAGCATGCACAATAAATACTATCGGTGTAGACTGGAATAACCAGACACTACATGTTGCCATTCGATTCAGACTTCTGGTGTATTTCGCCGAACATAACTGATTTGGAATTAGAGTAAAACGGAAACGAATGAATGTAAATCAGTTTATATACATTCATATTACATTATTATATGAGTTGCGACTCATTTGTGTCCATTTCTAGGTCCCAAATATTAGCGATTTAGCTCCTTTAAGCATATAATCCTACCTGAAACGGGTACAAATCCCCTCTTTTTAAATCAAAGCGACAGTAGATTGCTTTTTCCGACATTTTAAATTTACGTCTGTAACACATAAAGGCGGGGCCTTGTATGCAATAGCCAATCAAAGTACCCATCTGGTCAGAGTTGCGCAGTAGTAATACGGCATAATTGATAAAAACAACGCTTGATTTACTTTATTGTAAATATTTGCTGATAAATGAATGTTGTTTCAGTAGATTGGATTGCGTATGTGTTATAAGTACTAATAGTATAAAATTAACTTATTTTTAAGATGGTACATACATTAATAAAGAAATTGAGTTTGCCCCTTGGAAGGCATCCAATCGTAGTATATCTCAGCGTTTTTAGTTACGATCTCGTAGCTAGCCAAGCCCATAACCAACAATCTAGAACATTGGGTGGTTTAGCTTTTCAAAGGATTTAAACACAATTGAAATTTAATCAAGACTTTATTATCGTAACAACGTTAGCGGCGACAAAAGAGACTACACTATTTATTTGTATCTGAATTTTCTGACGAGGTCCCCACCTTTGCTAATGATGTCGAGGGTTGGTGGTCCATTGTAACCATTGCTTCCTCTGCTTCCACTCCTGACAGTAACATTATACTTTCCATTTATAGTTCCGGTCCAACCTCTAAATTTGGAACCTCTAATCGGGTTAACACCAGTTGGATTCAATTTCTAGAATTCTCTCAGTCCGGTGAAATAGTTGCCTCGTCTTGAATATTGTTTGGTAAGTCTGGGACCACTTCTGGTTATTCTTCCTCTGGCATAGCGACTTAAGAAAGCTCGTCCAGCGGCAAAGGCAATACGTCCACCAGCAATGGCCAGAGGAACCAGGGGAACCGCTCTATTTGGTCGTGCTACATTAGAGTCGTGACGTGATCTCTTGTTTATTTCATTGACTCAAAGATATATGTCTACAAATAAAATAATATAGGTATTGAAATATGACATCTTTAATATCAATTTTATAAACCCAAGACAACATTTAATGTCAAGTAAAAATGTAAGACAGCGTCAGCAACCCAGTTAGGCTATTGCAGCAGATAACCGCATAAAATTAGGGAAGGCACACAAATTGGCTAATCCTTTGGGAGTATTCTTTTGAAAAAGCTCATTAGTCATTCGAAAATTGTCATTTAAAGATTTTTGACTTTTGGATAATGAAATATCGGGGGGGGGGGGTGCAATAAAATCACGCCAACATGTCCTATTTCATTGATCCAGTTTTACGTAATTCACAGTTTTACGTACAAGGAAGGGTTCACCGTAACCCAAGAAGTTTTGTCCGATCCGAACCAATCAGAAACATAATACACATGTTTTAAATTTCATCAAAATCGGATCAAAACTGGGAAATCTCAAGTTTTTACAAACAACTGTGAACGGACGTCTGGTCGTCCAGAAATTATGACCGTCGGACGGACGGATATAGGCAACGAAAACACGATGAGTCCACATGGAATAGTGAGCGTGTAAAAATCCTCTACTAACATTCTGTCAAAGCAAAGCCGAAAATGTCAGCCATCTTTTGTTTGTTTACCCTTCAGTGGTGCAGGACGGAGGGCCTAACAAGGTCGGCTGTCTAGTCGTTCGGATGGAACGGAAAACCGAGCATTGCATGTAAAAGATCCCTTGGCAGTTGGAATTCGATATTAGAGTAGGCCATTGTGCCACTGCCCGGGCAAAATTTCCCTCATAACACACTCTATGGCGTATACCCGTCTTCATTAGCCCACCAGTATATGACGTTAAACCCCATTTCATTTCGTCAGCCATCTTGGAAAAGGACGGACATTTTGAATATTCAAGTGGCAAAAGGGGTTTTAATAATAAATGACCTTAAGCAGATACCTGTGCAAGTTTTGTATTCAGATCTAAACGATTGTTACGGTTATCTGCCTCACTAAGTGGCTTAGTCTGAATTGTAACTTGAATAAATAGCCTATATTGAGGCAATGTGACCGACAGTGAAATCAAATTATTTCCTTAAAGTAGCTAAGTCTCTAACTCAATATCATCCAAAATCTTCAACATTGAAAACTCTTTTATTTGCATTTCCAAACTACACAAAAAATCGAATTGGGATAGTCGTTTTATTTAATTATTGCACCAACCAAATTCATGCCAAGTTTTATTAGAAATACAGTATATTATAATAGCACGCACGTATTTTCTAACAGTTTTAACATCTTTACTGTGTGGATAAAATGCATTATCTAATAAATTTTTCTTTAAGTTTTAGCCTTAAAGATACATTATGGGAGATAAGATAAAGAGATGGCAGTTCTCGCTATAATAGTTAAAAACTAGATAGTGTAAAGGTAATTTGCGGAAAATTTCAGTCAAATTGATCCACTATGAGCCGAGAAAGAAGCGGGTGAAATTTTGGCATAGTCTCGGTCATCATTACTAAAATCATTAATATAAACAGCTTAGTCTCGATTATCCACTTTTTCTGATTTAATTATCAACGGCCGTTAGCGGCATATAGGAATCTAATCCAGCCAACATCGAAGGCTAGCCTTGACATCGAGAGTTTATTATGGTCTGGATAAGTTAATTAATGTCTAATTGATAATTTAGATAACATTTCAGGCCTAAAGAAAGACTTGTAATAAGCAGATTTTGCTCTTGCATAATGCATGTTTAATTTTGCAAATAAAATAAGTGAACCACCGATAACATTTTTACTTTTACTACTGTTGCCACTAGATCACATAAGATCATAATTAATTTTACATACCAAGTTCACCCGTAAATCTTTCATCTTCAGCTTCCATCAAAGCTTCCAATTCTTCCTGCGTGAGGAGATCAAGATCCACGCCATCAAATTTGCTGGATCCGACATTCTGTTGTGAGAGTGTTGTGACTTCAACAGGCACTTCTGTTGTTGGTATAACTGTAGCAGACGACACGGCCAAAACAGTAGCCGACAAAAGTAACACGAACAGTTTCATCTTGACTCGAATTGAAGACCTGCTTAACGAATGCCTCTCATTTTATACATCTCTTCCCGGATATTGCCCAGAAATAGTATTTTTTAGATGAACGTTTTTTTATGATTGATGTTTTGATTCCAAATAAACCGTCTCTGCCACTGCAGTTAATCAAAAATTGAAATAGGAAGAAGTATGTTGTCAAATTAATTTGCAACTGTCAATCATCTTCATCGTGTTGAAAGTGACTTATATTGTTTATTTGTAAACACGGTGATAAAATTTCCTTGGGGATTTTAAGCCTGGTTTTTCCTTGTCGGGGTTGCGGGACAGCAGCATAGTCCTTCGCATGGAACAAATGAAATGAAATGAAATGGAATGGGGTTTAACGTCCTACTGTTCTGCACGGACAACGGCACTATGGCCTACTGTTATATCGAATTCCAACTGGCAAGGGATCTTTTACGTGCACGCCAATGGGATCACGTGGTTAAGTGGGTAAGACGCTGGCTCGCTAGCCTGGAGGTCGGGTGTTCGATCCCTGCATTGGCCGAAGGACAGCTGTCTAGTCCTTCGGATGAGACGAAAAACCGAGGTCCCGTGTATACATTGGAATGCACGTAAAAGATCCCTTGGCAGTTGGAATTCGATATAAGAGTAGGCGATAGTGCCGCTGCCCGGGCAAAATTTTCCTCATAGCACACTGTATGGCGTATGCCCGTCTTCATTAGCCCAGTTTAGGAGCAGAACAGTAGGACGTTAAACCCCATTTCATTTCATTTCGTGTACACGGAAACTTCGAACGACTAGATAGCTGTCCTTGTCAGGTCAAGTATAAAAGTTGACGTTCACGTAAAAGAACCCATTACGGTTGGAAAACGATGAAGAACAAAGTCAAACATAATCATCGAGGTTGGTGCAGAAAAGAAAGGCAGTTAAACCCCATTTCGTTTTCATTTCATTCCACCACTGTGTCGATAGAAAAAGATTATTGCTTTATACCTGTTTTATTCACCTGTATTCAAACAGGTAAATATTTGGCATGGCATATTGTCCGTTACAGGAACTTGATAGTACCAAAAGAAGCGAGGCGAGAAATTTTTCAGTTTCTGTAGTGTAAATCGTATTGTTTTTCCTGTAGATTTATGATAAAATTAGGTAAAATACTATGATATTCTATAGATTTTTATACGCCCACATTTTCATGTGGTCGTATATTGTCGTCGCCCCTGTCCGTCCGTCCGTCCACAATTGTTTGTGGACACTCTATACAGGTCACAATTCTTATCCGATTTTGACGAAACTTGAAATATAGGTTTATCTCCAAAAGATCTCGGCTGCTTTCGATATTGGCATGTATCGGATCGAAACTTCGTGGATTATGGCCCTTGTTTGTACTAATGGATAATGAAATTGACTTTCCAGCAACAGAAATTTAACGGACCGTTAACAAGATAACGATCTGTTAGAGTTTAACGGATCGTCAAAGGGCCAATCCCGATAATATTTTGGAGAATAAAACTGCTTAATTTTGCCCTTAAAATCCTCTAACTTAGGACTGAGCAAGTAACTCAATATATGAGATACGTTTTCAAACAACTTAACCCCGTCAGTCTTCATCTGGAAATGGAGACCGGTGTCCCAAGCTGTATTATGCGGTGTCTGGATAAAACCAGACTTTTATTTCATAAAAATAATGTGTAGGTGAAATTTACCTTTCGTTATCAAGTACAGCACATGGGTCATTCATTGTATAGACCTCTGATGGAACGGGAATCGATTATCAGGTCATCCAACGAAAAAATTGACCCGAAATCTTAAAAGGGTTACGAGTCCGGATAAGCAGTTTTGACGTTCACGCCCAAACGACTCAATATTTTGAGCTGAAAATTTGAGACAATGTAAATACACCATTCATTCCTCTACATTTTGGTGGTTAAATTTCATACGTACTCAGACTTTTATTTTTGAGACTCTGTTCAAATCGGGACAGTCCCTTTAAAATAACTGAGTTTTGAACAACCCGTCGCAGGTCGTTCTCGCTATAACAGTTAAAGACAGATAATGACAAAGAAAATATATTAAAATTTCAGTCAAATTACTTCATTCTGAGCGAAGTTATGGCTGTTTGAAAAATAGCGTAGTCTCGATTTTCACTGATACCGTTGTTACGTTAATAAAGTCGCGATTATCCATTTTTAAATAAAATGATCACACGGAGATCGTGTTCAAATCCGTTCAAAATCACAAAGATAATGCATCTTTAATGACCAAGGGAAAATGCGAGTCTTAAACAGATGTATGCCTGAAGCAAAACAGCTTTACACGAAAACGTCAATTTATTTGAAAAGTTGACAGATATTTGACGGGGAATTTAAATTTTATTCAATGATGTTTTTAAAGGCGAACAGTCACAAGAGTGTGCAAGGTTACAAGATATTGTGGGGGGAATTATACTCAATATTACACAATATCAAGACAAGGATGCGTACATTCTAATTTTTCAATAATATATTCTTCTAAACGTCATTCCTCACACTGCTTCCTATGTCATGTAAGTGGGGGGTTGGATGGCCGAATGGTTAGCACGTGCGCGCTGTATCGCCGGTTTCGCATCCCGGTTGTACGTGACAAGGAGTAGGGTCGCCTGTCCAACCTCGTGGCTTTTCTCTGGGTCTCCTGGTTTCCTCCTACTGCTAAAGACCCCTACGCGCAAGCGAATTACTGAATAAAATTGAAGTATATGTTAGTCCCGAAATGACCAACTCTCTCCCTGAATTGATTTCTTGATCTGATATTCATTCAATGTAGTTTGTATATAGTCCACATGTGTGTCTTGTAGGCTTTGTTTGTTTGTAGTGCGGTCCTCCTGCACTTACTTATATACCCTCCAGTAGACTGGAGGTCAGGTGTTCGATCCCTGCATTGGCCGAGTAAGTTCATCCAGTTTTTCCGACGTGTTTCCCCCTTGTCAGTGATGCAGGACGGAGGGCCTGACAAGGACAGCTGTCTAGCCGTTCGGATGGCATGAAAAACCAAGGCCCCGTGTACACATTGGCGTGCACATAAAAGATCCCTTGACAGTTAGAATTCGATAGAAGAGTAGGGCGTAGTGCCGCTGTCCGGGCAAAATTTCACTCATAGCACACCGTATGGCGTATGCCCGTCTTCATTAGCCCAGTTAGCAGAATAATAGGACGTTAAACCCCAATAATTTCATTTCATTTCATATTTTTGTCCTGCAAGACAGACACGTAAAAACCAATACTGCACGCAGCAATCCATCTACGTCATACTTCCCAGGCGGAGCTAGCTGTAGACAGGGAGCCTAAGTTTGGGATGGTAAAAACCAGGCCGAAAAATTCCATGGAAATTTTATCACTGTATTTACAAATAAACAATTAAAGTCGCTTTCAACACGATGAAGATGATTGACTCGTTGCACAATAATTTGACAACCCACTTCTTCCTATTTCATTTTTTGATTAACTGCCGTATATATGAGAGACGGTTTCTTTGGAATCCAAAGACCAAATATCAAGTACAAAAAAAGTTGGTCTAAAATTAAATTCGGGAAGAGATGTATAAAATGAAAGGTATTCATTAGTTTGGAACATATCTTCGGTTGACGTATCTCCTATGGCAACACGGTTACTTTTGTAGCAGGTCTTCAAGACTAGCCGAGATGAAACTGTTGGTATTATTTTTGTCATGTCGTCTGCTACAGTCATACCAACAACTGAGGCGTCCGTTGAAGTCACACCTGCCCTACAACACAATGTTGTTTCCCGTACATTTGATGGCGTGGATCTTGATCTCCTTACGAAAGAAGAATTTGAAATTGAAGATGAAAAATTTACGGGTGAGAAAATCTTTTAGAAATGGAGTTTAAAGTCCACTAGGTCATTTCGGTACTAACATATGGTTCAGTCTTATTTCAATAATTCGCTTGCGCGTAGGGGTCTTTAGCTGTGGGAGGAAACCGGAGGACCCGGAGAAAAACTCACGAGGTTAGGTTGGACAACCCACTTCTTCCTATTTCATTTTTTGATTAACTGCCGCATGAGAGACGGTTTCTTTGGAATCCAAAGACCAAATATCAAGTACAAAAAAAGTTGGTCTAAAATTAAATTCGGGAAGAGATGTATAAAATGAAAGGTATTCATTAGTTTGGAACATATCTTCGGTTGACGTATCTCCTATGGCAACACGGTTACTTTTGTAGCAGGTCTTCAAGACTAGCCGAGATGAAACTGTTGGTATTATTTTTGTCATGTCGTCTGCTACAGTCATACCAACAACTGAGGCGTCCGTTGAAGTCACACCTGCCCTACAACACAATGTTGTTTCCCGTACATTTGATGGCGTGGATCTTGATCTCCTTACGAAAGAAGAATTTGAAATTGAAGATGAAAAATTTACGGGTGAGAAAATCTTTTAGAAATGGAGTTTAAAGTCCACTAGGTCATTTCGGTACTAACATATGGTTCAGTCTTATTTCAATAATTCGCTTGCGCGTAGGGGTCTTTAGCTGTGGGAGGAAACCGGAGGACAGGCGACCCTACTCCTTGTCACGTACAACGGAATCATTTACCGGAGAACTTAGTATGTAAAATTAATTATGATTTAAACAAACATTATGCAAGCGCTAAATCTGCCTATTGCATGTCTTTCTTTGTGCGTGAAATGTTATCTAAATTATTAATTAGACATTAATTTTCTGATCAAGGCCATAATCAAATCTCGATGTCATCGTTAGCCTTGATTTGAATACATTTTGTGATGAATAATTTAACGTAAAAATGAATAATTAGTAAATATGATCGAGGCTAGCCTAAAATTAAATCGTTAGTATCTCGGTTCGGCTCTTTATCTAATCTTCCATAATATCCCTTTAACATAAATTTTATTAGTGCGAGAGGTCCCGTGTATATATTGGAATGCACGTAAAAATTCCCCTGGCAGTTGGAATTCGATATAAGAGAGGGGATAGTGCCGCTGCCCGGGCAAAATTTCCCTCATAGCACACTGTATGGCGTATG